GCTAGCAGATCCTGAAATAATACAAGCCGAGTGGCAGTGCTTAGATTTCAGAAGTAACATAGGCACAACTGTTGGAAAGAGTGCCAGGATTGGAGTGGCATCTGGAGTCTCCACTTGCAGATGTTTAATAGAACATGGTGCACCTGAGCAAGATGGATGGGCTGCCAGCAAGGGTATTGCTTAATTTATACAGTCAAAAGAAATCAACGATGGATGATCAGAGGCGGGGGGCAGTGTCTCAGTAAAAAGTTACAATCCTTTGCTCAGTTTCCAGATCAGACCTGGGACCCATTGGCTAAAGGAGAGGTTGATTCTTTCTGGGTTAGAACCATGCAATGCCAGGACAGATATACTCATTTATGATCCCCTCAGTCCTTAACTAGGGGACCTATGACCATTTACTCAGGTAAGTGTGCTTTGGGGAAGAAGAATACTTAAACATTTTGAGAACTATTGAACATTGGTTCTGAATTTATAACAATACCTAGAGACCCAACAAGCTACCCTGGCCCTCTATGAGAGTGAGGCATGTAAGGACCAGTAGAGTCGTAGCAAACATATGGCTGTCAATGGGCCCACTGGTTCTATGGAACAACCTAGCAGTCCTTTCCCCATCTTCAAATGCATAATTGGAAGAGACATATTTGGTAGTTTACAAAACCCTCACATTGATTCTTTGACTTCTGGGATAAGAGCTACTGTAATCGGGAGGGACCTTTGAAACTGCCTCCTTCATCCCAGCGAGAACAGTAAATCAAAGACAATGCTGCATTCCAGTGAGAATGGGGAAAAATTAATGAAAGTTGCAAAGACTTTATTATTGTAGCAGCCCCTGCTGTATCCACACTTATTTCACCAGGCTGGCCCCTACAAAGCTCAGGTGAAACATGGCAGGTGACAAAGCAGTAGCCTCAATTGCACCTACTGTGCTCAGTGACGTATCTTTGCTAAGGCAGATTAAAACCACTGCCTGCACTTTGATCTTGCAAGTGTGTTTTTTACCATACCTATCAGGAAGGAGAGTTGGATGTAGTTCACATGGCCATGGGAGGGACTACAGTATATATGTATGGTCTTGCCCCTGGTCTATGTAAATTCTTTCACCCTTTGTCAAAATATAGCCTGAAGGGACCCAGACTTTATGGACATTCTGGAAAACATTACATCGATCTACCATACCAATGACATCATGTAACAGGACCAGATGAGAGATAAGTAGCAAGTATGTTGTAGGTCTTGGTAAGATACGTATACCCCAAGGATTGTGTGATAAAACTTAGAAATATTCAGGTGACCTCCGGTTCCAGACTAGGTGTATCTGCATGATGTCTTCTCCTTATTCCTCCTGCTAAAAACTCTGGACATTATATATAAAGCTAATCCAAGTCACTTTTGCATAAAAGGTAGAGAAAAGGCAGACCAGCAAAGGACCTTAGGACCTGTGGGATGACATGGTAATGAGTTTGTTGGGTTTCTTTCTTGCCCTATATATCCCAGATTGAGTACTGGAAAAGCCAGCAACCCAGAAATGTCAATGAGTACAAACATCAACAATACAAAAACTACATGCTTTCCCATATTTCCCTTTTGGTAAAGGGCACAGGTTGCCCGCTGTGCCTGAGAACAGTAGCAGTGGGATTGGGTGAAGAGGGTGACAAGGGTGGGGGTTAAGGAGGATTTAGAAGATAATATGGTGATCAACAAGTTTTAATTGTATTGTTTATGATTTGGCCTTATTGGTTACCTCCCATGTAGACATTAATAGATAGATCAATCATCAAATAAGCTTTTAAGAATACATACATTCTAAGTTGTTCAATCAATAGCAAGTTACATTTTCATTGACTTTATAACTTAAAAAACAATCAACTTCAGAAACAAGTGAATTGAAATATTTTAGCCTAAAGTGGAATATCTTGTCACATGCAATAAACCAACATGAAATTTTTTTGAGCTGAATTTTATTCCTATAAAGTCCATACTGTGAATCAAGCATGTATAACTTTATTAAGGTTTTTATTTTTTATTAATAATTGAATTCTTTGAATGAAAGATAAATCAAAAGATGGTGACAACGTGAAACTAAGAAATATTTCAATTAAAAAGTGTTGAAACCTGTGAGAAGTGAATGTGAAAGTGGAAAAAAGTCAGGACAAATTCTGGCTTGTTGAAGGGGCCAGTGAGGTGCTCTGGGCTGCTAAAGGGAAGAAGATGCTTATAATGGACTTCAATTTGCAGAAGTTCCCCAAGGCTTCCTCATTCATTGTTTCTTATGCAGAGAGCATAGGGAGAATGGGTTAAGAATTCTGTCTTCGGCTGCCGGGGGTCTGTAAGAGGCTTGGAAGCTCACAGAGACCAGATTGGTCTCCCTCCATATCGAGAGCCACCCACTACCTCTGCTCTTGGATGCCTACTTCTGATTCTCTTTGAGGATGCCAGGCCCCAAAGATGTAGGCTAGGGGCTGAGCTCCCTATGGCTGGGCAAAAGCACCCTGAATGCACAGGGCTTCTTCAATGCCCATTGACACAAGTTCAGAATTCCACTTCTATGGCACATCACACCACGATCACATATAATCCTAGAGTATCTTTATTTGTTCTATAATTTAATAGTATACCTATAAAATAATTACATTATACTTATAGCTTTTCTTCATTTATAGACAAACAAAAAAACAATTAAATACAATTTGGGCCATTATAAGGTAAACTTTATACATACAATAACCCCCAGAAGGAGCTTCACACTGCAGCATTATCATATTGCTTTTATTGCTACACTCACTATTGGGCTCAAAAAGAGTGTGCTCATGTTTGTATTCTGTGAGTTCATAGATGAATCCTTCCCCTATCTGCATGGGTTCTGCAGCTAATAAAGGAACAGGGATTGGCTTTACAGATGGACCAGAAACTCCCCTCCACTCACCTCCTATTCCACTCCATTACCATCCTGAGGAATTCCTTCCTTCACAGCTTTTCTGCTGCATGTTCTGCCACTGAGCCTGACTTGAGGTTTTCCACTAAATGCAAATTCTGAACTTGGACACTCTCCAACTTTTCATTTCATTCCTAGGTTCCAGTCCTCAAGGATTTATATTGATTGCTGCCTCCTGACTTATGGCTGTATATACCCATTTCTGGAGCTAAGACCCTTTACAATAGCACATTCTTCTGAGGTCTCCTGGTGTTACAGAAGTGACATCAATGAAACCTACAGGGCAGGGACAGGAAATGGATTCACCAACGTTTCACACCCCACCCCATCACCGTACCTCGTAAATGTCTCCAAGATCCACTCTCACTATCTAGTGTCTGAAAGCTTCAGCCCTCACAGCAGCTCATAGAGGGTCTCTCTCACATATCAGGGAACTGGGCCTTTCTGAGACCCCTTGGTGGGAGCATACTTGGGAATTACCGGTGAGAGGTGTTCAGAGTATACTGATTCCCACCAAAGGGCATATCATTCACATTTAACAGAGTCCATAAACATTCCTCCCAGGGAAGCCTTCATGGGGCAATTTAACCAAGCTACCCAAAGGAAGTATAATTTTGCAGGAAAACAAATTGATGTCATCTTCCCTACATTAAGAGACCACAGCATGGAAACTTCAACAATTCATTATAAAAATGAAAGGGGGCCTAATGTTCACTCATTCTTTTAAAGTCCAATCTTTGAAAAAGAAGCTCGTTGTTTTCTGAAGGACAGTGCAACTAGATTCCTGTTCTACATATTTTATCCCTTACTTCCTCCTGTACTACAAAATGACCCACCTCTTTATATTTTTAAAGTTTTCCTGCTTTTAACAGGAAATTTTTTTTTGCTTGGTGTCATGGCGGTGGAAATAATGTAGCTTCCTCACCCCACCTATGTATATTAAACATGGTAGGGCCTTTTGAGTTTCAGGTTAAAACTTCCCAATGAATCCCCATCCCTGCGCCCATCCACCCCAACCCAATTCCCACACTGTGCTGCAATGCTTGAGTACCTGCAGTGAAATATTCTTCTAAGTAAAATTACAAGTCCTCCCATCTCCCTGCCCAATCTTAGCTGCGTGACAGTGAACTGGTGACTAGACGATACTTCTGCGTCAAACACCTTCTGGGCAGATCATCACCCGCTCTGGTCCTTACTCAGAAAGATGCTGCAAAAGCCAGAGTCAAAACACGTGAAACGATACATGGATAGGTCGATAATACTTTTTAACAGCTCTTTACAATAGGTCAATTATAAAACCAGCGTTAATACAGAGAACTTTGTGTGTAATAATATTCTAATTGCAGCGGAAATAGCATGCACACCAGAGTTCATCTTTAGTCCACACGTGGGGGAGGGGTAGTGACGAAGAAGAGGCGGTGGTGGCAGGGGTGGGGGAGGCGTGGTCCCCTGTGAGCAAGGTCCCCAGGGAAGCCCACTTCATTCATGATCCAAGGGGCTCCAGATGTCTTCTTGGTATCGGGTTTGTTAGAACTTCCCCATCCACGGATATCTTTATGGACGTCGTCCAAGTCGGCATCACTGCAGCGGCAGAGGGCAGCCCTCAGATCACAAGAACGAAGCCTCCCAGCCACAGTTCCAGGCACCAGCAGGAGAGGGTTGAGGGGCCGGCTAGAAGAGTTAGGTGTCCTTCACTTCACCCGGAAGGGGGCGAGCGGGAGTGTAAGGTGAGGCCAGGGGATTTTCTTTTTTCCACTTAGTGGAAACATCCAAGCCGGATTGACAATGCACCACCTGAAAAGTCCTCTGTGATCGCCGGGTGGCGGCTAGGGGTTTTCCACCATCTTCCTTCGGGCCTCATGCAGAGCCTGGTTGGGGAGGCAGGTGAGGCCCGGGGTCGGTCAGGCACACATCAGCAAAGCTCCATTTCCGGTCCACGTTTGTGACAAGGACACCGTCAGCCCCAAGAGACGTGCTTGCTGCTGAGGAGGGCACCAGGCAGCGTGTGAGTGAGCTCGGAGGGCGGGGACGGGACGGCGGCGCCAGCGGCGGGGCGCCCGGACGCTCACTGCTTGTCCGAGTCGCTCAGGTTCACGGACATGCACCGGCACTGCTTCACCTTCTGGATCTTTTTGAGTCGGAAGGGTGGGTCCAGGCCCGGGCATTCGAGCTCCACGAGGACGGAGGTGACCCGCTGGGGCTTGCAGAAGGCGCAGGACTGGAAGGACTCCTCCTCCTTGCGCACGTGCCGCGGGATGTAGAAGGAGTTGCACTGGCCGTAGCAGAAGCGGTTGAGCACCGTGCGGCTGCGGCAGCCCTCCTCGCTCACCGTCTGCCGCAGCGGCTGCGTCTTGCACCAGTCACTCTTGAGGTACTTACGCTCGGTGACCACCAGCGCCTCCTGGCTGGAGGCCAGCACCTCCTTGATGTGGTGCTGCCATCTCTCCGAGTTGTTGCTGCTGCCATCCTTGTAAGGCGAGGGGATGGCGCCCGCCGGACGATTCTTCCGGGCTTCCGCGACCTTCACCAGCACGGCCACCAGGAACAAGGACAGGGAAAGTTTCCAGAACATCCTGCAACGAGAAAAGAGTTAGAAGCTTTGGTAGGGACAGGCGATTGAGTGCGGCATAGTTTCCTTTTTATGCTTACAGGGTCGCTATGAGTCGTTATCAACTCGACCGCAACTAGTTGCTTTCAGGTCTAACACGAGGAGTGGCAGTCAGGTGGGGTGTGGCTGGCTACTGGCTGCCCAGGGGCAGCAGGAGGTGGGCATTTATTGAACAGGACACTCATAAAGAGCCATGAGGCCCTTGGGTAGCACAGTTTGCACTCCACTATCAACCAAAAGGTTGGCAGTTCAAACCCACCCAGCATTGTCTTGGAAGAAAGACCTGGCGATCTGACTCTGTAAAGATTATAACCAAGAAAACCCTATGGAGCTCAGTTCTACTCTGTAACACATGGACTCGCCATGAGTCAGAAATGACTGGATGGCAGCGGGTTTGGTTGGTTTGGTTAAAGAACCATGATAGTATCCTAAGCATTGCCTAAAAGGCAAGGAGGTGGACAAAATGGTTATAGTATTTTATAATATAGTCAGAAAACATACACGTTAGAACAACTACAGAAGACTTAAAAAGCAAAGGCTGTCAAGAATTATCCCAAGCTAGTGTTGGCAAAGAGTACTATTAACAGTAATAGCCAACATTCGCTGTGTTTTAGTGTGTGCAAGCCCTGCCCAAGTGCTTTACATTCATGATCTCATTTCATTCTCAAAATAGCCTGAAGGAGGAGGTGTTATTATTATTATCTCTGTTTTATAGTGAATGAGACTAAGGCCCAAAGGGGATGAGTAATTTGCCCAGGGTCACAAAACCACTAAGTAATGGAACCAGGATTTGAACCCAGGCATCTGCCTCCAGAGCTGTCAAAATTTAGCACTATATGAAATGGGTATGATTATGAAATTTAATAAATAAGTAAAGGTGGGGATGGTTCACAAGTTTCTTAAAAATGAGTACTAGAGTTAGCAATGAACATAGTTAAGGAATATTAATACTTAGCCCTGTGTTTATTATTACATACAATAATAAAATAATTTATCAAATAATTAAAATGAAACATGGATTAGACTCTTGCAGTGAAAACCACTTCCTAGTCGTGAATTAAGAAACTTCCAAGACTGTCTTAAAACTGCCTTATGCCAATGCCAATGTCATCCACTTGGATGGATTCTGTCTTTAGTCCATGCATTAGGAAACCATAACAGAAGTCGAGCAGAAATGAAATTCCAAGAGACATTATTCTTATGTGATCTAAAAGATGTCTTATAGGAAGCAAACCAAAGTCTGGCTGAAGTGAAAGACATCTTCCCAGTTTAGTTCAGGTATTTCATTTTTATATTTTCCTAAATAGCTTCAAGGAGCACTAGTATTCAGCAACAGAGAGAACTCATCTTTTACAGCTGTAACTCATGGTCGTTGTCATAGGTATCAGATTCATGTTTATTCATTACCCCTCCGTGTATTTTCCCACTTTAATGACTGCATGAGACTCTCATCCCTTTAACATGTACAACCTAACATGCACCGTAAAAATCATGTATTACAGAATGCTATATAGTTACATGTGTTAGTTACAATATTGTATGTGTATCCAGCAGTGCTGTTGTTAGTTGTTGTCCACTCATGACAACCTCACGTGTGCCGAGTAGAACTGTTCCATACGGTTTTCAAGACTGTGACCTTTCAGAAGCAGATTGCTAGGCCTGCCTTCCAAGGGGCCTCTGGGTGGTTTGAAATGCGAACCTTTTGGCTAGTAGTTGAGTGCTTAACCACTTGTGCCACTTAGGCATAAGCATATATAAATGACTAAAATTTAATACTGAATATATTAAGCTCCTCCAGTTGTTATAGAAAATGCCTAAGATTCATGCTAATAATAATAGCTAATGTTTATCAGGTGCTCAAACCTATCAGACACTTTTAGAGTTTCCTTTCTTGTAGAAACTTATCAGAGTTCCATGAAATAAGTCCTTTTACTTTCTCCGTTTATGAATGAGGAAACTGAGGCATTGAGAGGGTGTGTAACCTGCCAAGACTGCATATCCAGTCAGTGAAATATTTGAATCCAGGCATCCTGGCTCTGTGATTGAGGCTCCTGGTTAATATAGCTGCCTCTTTGTTAAAAATATTTATGTGAAAGTATCTATGTTAAAATAATTTATCGGTGTCACTACCCTTAGTTTAAGTCTAAGCCACACAAGGCCTTTGCGTATCAGGTATTGTTGGACACTGTGTTATTCTGGAGCAAGCACTCTAGTAAAAGTAGTTGCCATCAAGTCGTTTTCAACTCATGGCAACCCCATGGGGGTCAGAGTTGAACTGTGCTCCACAGGGTTTTCAGTGGCTGAGTTTTCAGAAGTAGACGACCAGGTCTTTCTTCTGAGGTGGACTTCTTTCTTCTGGGTGGACTCCAACCTCCAACCTTTTGGTCAGCAGCCGGGCTCATTAACAGTTTGCACTGCCCAGGGACTCTAAGCTCTATAATAAACCAAACCAAACCTGTTGCCATCGAGTCGATTCTGACTTATAGTGACCCTATAGGACAGATTAATCATTGTTGTTGTTTGGTGCCGTCAAGTCGGCGCTGACTCATAGTGACCCTATAGGACAGAGTAGAACTGCCCCATAGGGTTTCCAAGGAGCGGCCGGTGGATTTGAACTGCCGACCTTTTGGTTAGCCGCTGAGCCCTTAACCACTGTACCACCAGGGCTCCAAGCTCTGTAGTAAATTCCAGTATCTCCCTTAGAGTCAAAGGTAAAGTTCTTACACTGTTAGACGAGCCCTTACAAAATCTACTTCTCCCCTACCCTTAACTCACTGCCTCCTCCCCTACTGTCTCTCCCTTGTCCAGTCAGCTCCAGCCACACTGACCACCCTTTTGTTTCTAGAATATGTCGAATTATTCTACTTTTAGAGCCCTCCCCAAGATATCTTCATGGCTCTCTCCCACACTATCTTCACGTCTTTGCTCAATTATCACCTTCTTGGTGAGGCCTAGTGTATACCCCCGCCACAACCTGGGCACCCACTTTCTCCCTCTTCCCTACTTTATTTATCATCTTATAATATAGTATTTAATATCTTATTTATTTTTCCATTGTCTGATTTCCCCACTGGAATGTAAGGTCCAAGAGAGAAGGACTACCTGTTTTGTTCATTGCTGTATCCCCTACACTGAGAACAGTGCCTGGTACATAGCAGGCATTCAACAAATATGGGTTGACTGAAATATGAAGAGTTTGTGTTTCATTGTCTTCAGCAAGCTTATAATTAAGAAGATAGACAAAGGCATGCAAATAATTCAGGGCCACAAAATTCTAAGGGAAGAGTGGCATGTGTTTGTAGGCAGTGCTCCCGGGAGCAGCAACAGCTGAGTCACCTGGATGCTTTCGAGTGTAGATTCCCTGGGCGCACTGAAAACCATTCCGAACCAGTAGAGCTGGGGTGGGATTTGGGATCTGCCTGGTTTAAGAATTGCCTCACGTGACTTGGATGAGCACCAGTAGCCCAGGAGAAAGTGAGAGAATAGTGAGGACACGATAAAAGAGCATCAGTTCCACCTGGATAGGGAAAAGGAGGAGCCCAGGAAGGATTTGTAGAGGAAGTAATGGCTAAAATTCTGAAAAAGATTTCTCCATGTGATGATACTGCCAACATGCAGGAAAAAAAAAAAATCAGTTGCCACTGTTGAGTTGATTCTGACTACGCTCCATAGTTTTTTCAGTGGCTGATTTCCCGGAAGTAGATCACCAGGTCTTTCTTCCGAGGTGCCTCTGGGTAGACTCAAACCTCTAACCTTCCAGTTAGCAGCCAGTGCATTAACCATTGACACCACTCAGGGACTCCACAGAAAGTACTGGTGTTAGGTAAATACATACATTATAAGGCAAAGGAAATAAAAATTTGAGAGTAGGGGGTAGGAAGAGTTTATTGTTTTTTGGGTTTTTTGTTTGTAAAAACATTTTGTCCAATACAATTATTGACGTTTTCAGGCCAAGATTCTAAAGGGCTTTTCTCACGCCTCCTTAGATCCACACATAAAGTGTCATATGAAAATGATAACATTTTCAGCAGGCTCATGACAAACATCAAAACATTGGACTCGCTCAGCTTACACAGCTTATTATATTTGTTGAATGATTTGTGATCTCCATAGGCTCTTAAAAAGAAAGTACTCTGGTTCCCTTTTAGCAATTTCTGAAATTATTAACATTCTGAGTAAACACAACCAAAAGTTTGCAAGTCCTAGCCAGGAAAGATTTAGAGTCAGGCCTGGTCTTCGGATCCTAGTTCCGGTAACAGCTTCCCAGGCATCTTTGATAGGCTTAAAAATGTATGTTTTTATTCAACAGGTCCTAGTTGTTGTTGAGGAGAACAGAAAAAACTAAAACATGCTCAGATGGATTTGAGGAAAAACTCTTAAGAGTCAGTGACATTAGATGTGGTGATTAACAACACGCATTCTTTGAACACTTTAAAACATTTCTAAAACATCTGGCAATCATCCTTAGAAGTTGTGTCTCACAAGAACCTAAGAAGAAAAGCAAACCTCCCATTTTCAGGAAAGGGAAAGGAAGCCCATGAAAGCTAAATGACATGGGACCAAGCCAGGCTCTTTCTCTTCTCTCTCCTTTCTGACATCTCATTTCTTTTTCCCTTCACGCATATTAGTTAAACCCATTGCCAGCAAGTTGCCTCTCAGTTGGCAGTTAAGCCCGTCAGCCTTTCGTACCACCCAGGGACTCCGCCTTCACACACAGCAACAGTTAAGATTTCCAGGGACTCTGGAATCTCAGTATTAGAACAGGTAAGTAGGCAAGACGTCTTTTGCCTATTAAGTTGTATCCTCTTTACTGCAGCGGTGTGAAAGCAATCGAGCAAGCTATCGCTAAAGGCACATACTACACTGGCCCTTCTCCGTGTAGGAGTCACCTGGGGAGAGAATGTTCACAACCTTCCTCTTCAGCTCCCTAACCCGCCATGTGCACGTCTGTGGCCCAGCCAGGA